TCAGGCTCTGCAGCATCGTAGTTGGCGTAGAATTTGCGTACCAGCTGCACCGTTGCCGCAGGCGGGTTATGGCAGAATGAATGCCATGTGTGCGCGGCGATAACTGAATGGATAAAGCTGGGGTAGCCTGAAGGCCGACCCCTTCTGTACACAAAACCTCTTTCCATATGCAATGCACGCTTATTCATGCACGCGTCGAAACGCTGCTCTGCCTCTGGGGACGCAAATTTTTTTACTTCAGCATTCTCTGTGGCCTGCTCCGATTCAGAACTGTTTGAATCTATTATAATCTGCACTCCCTTTCCCTTGCGCGCCTTGCTCTTGAATGGCATTTTGATGCCTGTACTCCCTTATCTGCTCTAACTACCCTCTAAAACAAAATTTCCCACTCACTTTCCTTCCTCAATGGCGATCTCCTCTGTGCTGGCGGCTGGCTGCTCCCCCAAACTCGCGCTGTATCACGTAACGAAGATGGATGAGATTAGCTATTTGAGAGAATGCCGCGGGTGAGAGGATGCAAGCTTGAAATCTTGGCGAGAATGGAGGAAAAAAAGAAAAATGGCAAGAGTGAGAGTATGAGTGTGGTCTTCGAAGAAGAAGTGAGAGTGTATAAATACGGGTGAATTAGGGTTTTAGAAACATGCTAAACTCATTGTCGTTTTTTTTTTTTTTTTTTTGAATGCTGCCCAGAATGCTGCAACATTTTGTCATGGCATTCTGGGCTAATGCAAAATTTTTTTTTCTCTGCTATCTGCAACGGATTGGCTCCTTTTGATCCTGCCAACCAATGAATTACACTCCCAATTAAAATATAAATGCAGAATAGCAAAATAAAACAAAAACAAAGGAACAAACAATGGGTTGCCTCCCATAAGCGCTTGTTTTTGAGTCATCAGCCTGACTACCTCCCTAGTTTAAGAATTAAGCCTCTTGCAGAGTGATGGATGTTTAGAGAGGCACTCAGTAAAGAGTGGCACCCGCCCATAGTAAGTGTCATACAACACTACCAATGGGCCTTTGATTGTGATGCCCTCAAGCTTGGTATGATTTTTACAATTTAGGCACGTTGCATCAACAAGATTTGGCTTCGGAAGGTGATGGGCTTAATTGGAGAACTTCATTTTTGGTTCGAGCTCATAAAGAATGCAGTATGGTGGCGGTGATGATGATGGCCAAAATGGGTCAAATGGCGGTATGGATGTTAGAGGGATTGACGAGCTCAAGTCAATGATTTCTTGTTTTCTTTCATCCTCCTCTGACGACTCTTGCGCCTCAAATTTCCTTATAGATCCTTGTGCTATTGTTTTGGTACCTAACCAAGCTAACTGCTCCATAGGTTCATCTTCAGCCTCGTCCAAATCTAATGATAAGGATAGCTGCAACAAGTCTGAATGGCTGCTACTCTCAAGCTCTTTAGCCACCAAAGAGTTAATGACTGATATTGCAGAACATTCCTCCACCTCAGTTGGAAACTCCATTGCCTTAAATACATTAAATGTCACATGCTCATCCTGCACTCGCATGGTTAGCTCACCTTTTTGCACATCCATTAGGGTGCGGCCTGTAGCAAGAAATGGCCTTCCCAAAATTATAGGCACTTCTATGTCTGCTTCATAATCAAGAATAATAAAGTCGGCAGGAAAAATGAACGTGTCCACCTTTACTAGTACATCCTCAATCTTTCATTCGGGAAGTGCAATAGATCTGTCTGCGAGCTGCAAAGACACTGTGGTAGGCCATGCTTCCCCGATTCCCAACTTCTTGAAAATGGACATCGGCATCAAATTTATACTAGCTCCCAAATCACATAAAGCCTTACCAAAATATTGGTTTCCAATTGAACATGGGATAGTGAAACTTCCCGGATCCTTCAGCTTGGGAGGGAGCTTATTTTGCAATATGGCGCTGCATTCCTCTGTCAAAGCCACTGTTTCGAATTCTCCAAACCGGCGTTTTTTAGTGACCAAGTCTTTCATGAACTTGGCATAGTTTGGCATCTTTTCTAGGGCCTCAACTAATGGTATGTTGATGTGTAGCTGCTTCAAAACATCTAAAAACTTGCAGAACTGCCCATCTTGTTGCTATTTTTGGAAACGTTGTGGGAATGGCAGAGGTGGTCGGCTGCCACTAGAGTTGTTGGTGTTGGTTGCTCCTGAGTGCTGCGGTAATGCTGCAGCATTCTGAACATCAGAGTCCAGTTACTTACTCCTGGGCTGTTCTTCTTGCGGCAATGTTTTCTTCTCTCCCCCTTGGATTGAAGTGGGCTCTGTGCGAGCAGCCATAGGTTTTGCTTTTGATTCCAACTCCTTTCCACACCTTAGTGTAATAGCTTTGCAGTGTTCTTTCCCATCTCTTCGTGGATCTTTGGTATTGCTTGAGAGAGAACCTTGGGGCCTGTTGTTCAGAGAGTTTGAGATATGTCCAACTTGATTTTCTAAATTCCGCAGTGCTGCATCATGGCTCTGGATTTTGGCTTCACTCCTTGAAATAAACTCTTTTAACAAGCTCTCCAAAGAGCTAGATTGTTCCACGGCTTGAGTTCTTTGTTGTTGCGGTGGATATCTGGGTGGGTAGGTGTTTTTGTGGTAGGCATTGGGTTGACTGGTACTTGCTCCCAGATTGCTCCATGATAAGTTTGGATGTTGCCTCATCCCTTGGTTATGAGGATTTGAATAGTGATGATTACCCGTGTTGAAATTAGCAACATAACATGCATAGGCGGGGTTGGATGGGCAATCTTCATATTGGTGGCTATCTCCACAATAAACACACGAAAAACCAGCAGTTTGCACTGCATTTACCCCTGCCGGATTGTTCAACGCCTTTACCAGACATTTGTGCTGAGAGTGCAGTGATGGCGTCAACCTCGTGAATTCCAGTGGCCTTCCTTGCATTATGCCTCTCGGTTGGCCATTGATAGTTGTTGTTTGCCATCCTCTCTAAAATCTCATATGCATCATTATAAGATTTGGCCAAAATGGCTCCACCTGCTGCAGCATCCACTATAGTTCGTGTTTGCCCATTGAGACCATTATAGAATGTCTCCATTTGAATCCAGTGGGGGATCCCATGATGAGGGCACTTCCGTAGTAGTTCCTTAAATCTATCCCACGCTTCATACAATGACTCCCCATCTGCTTGTTGGAACAAGGTTATGTCATTCCTTAACTTGGCATTCTTGGTTGGAGGGAAGTATTTCATGAGAAACTTTTCTGCCAATTCATCCCAAGATGCCACTGAATCCGGAAGCAAAGAGTTCAGCCACACTCGCGCCTTATCCCTCAAGGAATAAGGGAATAGCTTCAACCTCAATGTATCTTTGGTTACCCCCGGTAGCTTAAAAGCATCGCTCACCTCTATAAATTGTCTGAGATGGATGTGAGGATCTTCAGTTGCCATGCTACTGAATTGCCCCATGGTCTGGAGCATTTGGAACATCACGGGTTTCAGCTCAAAATGAGGTGCCAGAATTGCTGGTCTCACTATGCACGGGTTAAGTCCATGCAAAATGGGCACTGCATAGTCTCGAATGGCCCTGTTTCTATCATCAATAGGCTCTGGTTGTGGAACAGGGTTGTTGGCAATTGGTTGCTACCCGTTGTTTCCTACTGCCCCTTCTGCCATGTCTCTCACTCCTGCTAAGCCTTGTTGCTCCCTTCTCCTAGCTCGGAATGTTCTTTCTATTTCAGTTTCTATAGGCAGCAACCCCAAGTCTTGCAGTGGATTCATGCAAGCAACTTAGTAACCGGAGGAATTAAGAACCAAATGAATGAGATTAAAAAGTAAACAAATGTAAAACAAATTAACTCCTGCAAATATTTTAATGATTTCAATTCCCCGGCAACGGCGCCAAAAACTTATTGCGTGATAATTATGCTCGCAAGTGCACGTGTCGCTAACAAGTAATGAAGTGTACACAAGTATGGATATCGATCCCACGAGGAATGAATCACCAAAATATGTGTCAGGAGTTGTATATTCAACAAAATAACAAGAAATAAATTCGGCACAAATTTACTAAGATGATGTAATTGAAATAAATGTAAATGAAATGAAATCTGATGGCTAAATGTAACAAGAATGTGATGATGGGATGTAAATTAGTGGTAAAAATGAGCTAGGCTTGCTAACTTCCCCTCTACTACAAGTCTGACTAGAATGTTACCAAGAATGCTGCAGCATTCTACTATCCTGTCAACAGATTCTCGTTGATGCATAAAGTTCTTCCGAATTGATTATGACTGTGGTCCCTCAAGCTATTTCCAACATATTCCTATGTGGATCCAGCTCTCGGACTGCAGATTTAAGCTCAGGTTTCATTAAGTTACGCAAGGTGAATAATATATTCCTATACTATCCACTAATCAAAAACTCAGCAAGCTCATTGAACAAGCATCATTCATGCTAATCCGATTAAAACTAACCCTTCCAGTATTAATCTTAATCTTGTATCCTAAAATTGATGGCCAGTCAAGAATAGAAATAGATATTAGCTCACATGAATGAACAGGAATAGTAGATTAATAGCATTTCAAAAACAACTTATCATTCTTACAATATTGGTTCCATTAGCAAACCTAGCTACAACAACTTAGTTCATAATGATAGATACAAGATCCAAAGCTCCAGTACAATCCATATCTAGAATTAGTAGCTAAATAACAAAAGATAGTTAAGCTAACAGAAGAAGAACAAGTTCGGCTGGATCTTGGATTCCTCTGTGGCCGGCCAACAATGTCCTTCAACTTCCAGCTCTCTCAGCTTTGTATTCTCCTTCTAGGCTGGAAATCACGTGTTGTTCTGCTTTCCTCAGCTCTCTCCCGAAGCTTTTTCCTCTTTGAATAGTGTCTTTTTGTATTTTCTGGTGTCTTCGTACTCTCCTGTGTGCTCTCCTTCGTGAAAACAGCAACTGTCTTCTTTTTATATTAATGCCCGATTCTCTCTCTTCCTCTTTTTCTCCCCCTGGCAGCTGCCAACTTATCCTGAGAGAAACATTCCCTTCTAGGGCAACACAAGGGCTGAGGTGTCACTGCTGATGTGTACAGTGGACCCATTTGACACCTCCTCAGCCAGCTCAAACAGATTCCTTTCTGTTTGCTTTGTCTAGCTAATGTGCTGACATCAATCAGCTGCCAGCTAATCCCAGAATGTCACCCAGAATGCTGCAGCATTTTAGCCCAGTAATTTCCTGCAAGGAACTCACATAGAATTAGCCAGTTTTTTTACCTATTTTACTTCCAAATTACCAGATTTCATTTCAAGAGGTACAGCAATACGAAATTATGCCACAGTACATGCAACTCTACAAATCTAACTTAAAACAAATAATAAACGAGAACAATCACTCGTGGACAAACAATTTTAGGCTATAAAACCAGTGGATAACTCTAATTTCTTAGAGTTATCAATTTTCGCCCGAGCCTTTTGCCTCCGTGCATCCTTCCGCACTTTGATCATCTTTTGCCCTTAGACTCAAGCTTTCTCCGAATCTGGTAAGTCTTCATTCCCTTCGTTCTTCTCGTGGGTCTGGTTCCAGTGTCTACGACGGTCATGCCAAAACGCACTGTAAGGAGGGGAAGTGTACTTCCCTGATTCCGCCAGCCTTGCGCCGATGGCTGAGCTTACACTGCCTGACCCGTTTGGGCACCGCTGTTTTGGCCTGAGGCCCCCGAGCTTGGCTCTGGGCCTCCCTGACTCATGGCGCATCCTGTTTTTCTTCTTGGTCTGCGCTTTTGACCTCTCGACCACTAGGAGCTAACTCGCCCCCCTTGTTTGCCTTTTTCCAGAACATGTCGTCGAAGCAGACTAAAGGTCAAGAGGTCTCTGCACACAGGGTCAGGGATGATCCTGAGGATGTCGCGACTTCGAGCGCATCTTCGGGCGAAAGCGGGGATTCCTTGCTTCGTCAAGTGGACGAGTATGTTGAGGTGTCAGCCTCGGCTTCTCAACCGGATGCGCTCATTCTCCTCGACGATGAGGGTGCTGACGAACGAGCCAGTCCCTCCAGGGGTCGAGGATACGGGGTAGCGTCGACAAGCACCCTTTCGGGACTGGCCACAGATCTTGACCCATCGAAGATCAGGCCCCACGCCGCTAGGAGGGCATTCACTGATGCAGGGATCGACCCCCTGCACTTTTACTTGATCATTCTGACCCCCGACGACAGGGCTCACAACCCTCCCCCCAATCATATGACCGTGTATACACGTGCTCTCAACTTTGGGCTGACTCTGCCCTTCCATCCATTTGTGAAGGCCCTCTGCAGTCTTCACAAGATCTCTCCTGCACAGTTGTCACCCAATTGTTGGGTGACAATAAATTCTATGATAATATTATGGAGGAAGTTCTTGAGCCTCAACCTAACCGTCGAGGAATTCTTGTATTGCTACTCCCTCAGGGCCTCCCCCAATCAAAGGGGGTTCTTTTATTTATCCTCCCACTCTAAGTCCAAACCTCCTGTCCCACCCGTGGTTGTTGGGAAGACCACCAGCGCTCACGGGTGTATGCCCCAATTCTTCTTCCTTGGGGGGAACTTCAATTCTCACCCCCTCAACGGCGAGTGACCGATGGGCACTCAAACAGTATTCAGTAAATACTGTAGGTCCCCCCCCCCCCCGCCTCTTTTTTTTTT